TATATATATATATAACATAAACTTTTTAAAACATACACTGTTAATAATTCATGAACTATTAAAATTTTCAAAAGAAGAAGGGGAGAGAGAGAGTTACCTGACGCAATGATAAACAAAACCATTAAGCAAACCAAATCGTGTGGAACTTTTGCCAGTCTTTGATCTTTTTTTTTTTTTTTTTGGCTATCAGCACCATAAAATATTGTTTTTGTTATACGTAGGAAGGGGAATGGCTTCGAATATATATGCGAAACCAAAATGAATTACATGGAAATAATACATTTCATACAATGAATATTAATTATTCATGCAAGAAATAAATATGATAGTTATGGGTTTACAAATTTTGAATATATAATTCTTTGAATGATTGATTTCCAAAATAAATTAAATGGATTCATATTTTGATGAATAGTATCTGATAAAAATAATTAAATACCTCGTTACTATGGTAATTGATACTAATATGTAAAAACTTTTAAGATATGCTTGGTTGTCATGTGCGTGTCATTAAAATTAGAGTCGGTAATTTGGACGAGCAATTGCCAAAAATTTTAGGACTAAACTTAGAAAAGCTGAACTTATAATCATGCCTTCTGTTTTTTTTTTTTGGGCTTCAAATAACCTTGCCTTTTCAGCAGGCCTAAATAGGGTTAAAGCCCATTTAGGTTTGGATTAACCCAGATACATGTACTTAATTTTTTTGGGTACAAAGATACATGTACTTATTGATTTTACATGTTAACTAATTATTAAACTTAATGTGAATTAAAAATAATTATTGTACATATATATAAAGGAGAATCAATTTCCATTTTTTTTATGTCTACTAATTTCAATATTATTGTATTTTTTTATTTATCCATTTTTATGTCTTTGGTTGACCCAAATTTTTTCTTCCTTTCTTTCTCTCCAATGTTCACGGAGAAGAAAACTATTTTATTCAGGAGCGATCGAGAATAATTGTATTATGGTATTAATTTCATTAGTTAATAAACTGTATTATATATATTTATCTCATTTGTTAAATATATGTGAGGTGTGCATTGGTGACTTATATTTAAGAAAGTGTGCATACGCGCATATATGTCTCGTGCGCGTGTATATAATTTCTTTCAGATTTGAAATCCTTATTCCTCTATAAGGATAGTTTTGCATTTTCAACCTCTGAAAAATTTTAATTGGAGGAAAAAAACTGGTTAATATAATGAAACACATCATAAATGTAATTAACTATTGAATTTAAAAGCGGCATTTGTGCATCTTTTCTGTATTTTGTAAATTTTTAGTATGAATTTCTTAAACCGACACTGTGACACAAGACAACTTGAAATTGACAGCTGAATTTGGAAAACACTTGTGACTTATTTGTTTTTGTTTTTTTGGAAAAAAATAATGAACAAATCTTGAACTGGTTATTAATTCATTGACGTATATATGTGACGGTTTTTTTATTAATCGAGTGACGTAGTGATATTATTTAGCATATTTTTATCAACCATTATATGCTCGGAACACAACAAAATTACGTACCATGAAAATTTAAACAGGGAAATTAAATTTTGGATTGGCAGGTGTGAATTCCTTCTACATATATCCCCTTGTATGATTTTTTTTGAAGTCTTTTAAATGGTGATTGTTTTACAAGATTTTGAGAGTAATTTTAAAAATTTGGGGTCCTATTTATATATAATTGATTTAATTGTATGATCCTTTTTTCATAGGGTGGCTTAAATCCATCCATTACCTAATTGACAACATGAATTGGTATAGATTGTGAGATCCTCACGCACTTTAAAAATTACAAGCGGCCTTAACTTAATCTATGCTTAAAAATAATTTAGTAATTAAAAAATAGTTTTATCAATGGTCTTAAAATCTAATGACATAGAAATTCCACGATAAAGTGGAGGTTGTAAAAAACACTAGTACAAAATGTTATAGTTTGAAGGAACAGAAATAATTTTACCCATGGCTTCTATTGCTTTAAAAACAGAAGCCGTAAATGAGATTATCATTCTATCACCACTGTTATATATACAACAGGCGCCATACATAAATATATCAACTATATATGCACATGTAAATTAACTCTTAAAAATTTTAAATAAGATGTAAATAAATTGCCACTTAAACTAATAAATTTTTTTAAAACATGTTAATTTTGAAATAGAACAATAAATTACGCACATTATAAAAAAATAAACAGTAATGGTGCCTGATTTGTTTTGGAACAGATGCCATAGGGGAATGAACATTATTAAAAAGAATTGTTATCACACCTATTTGTGTTGTAACAGGTGTCATAAGCTGTCCGAATAAGAAAAACCGTGTTTTTTGTTGGGCCTGAGAATAAGAAAAAAATTTTAAACAACTGAAAGTTTAAAAAAAAGATCATAACGTCTCTCTTTTTGGGCCCTGACACCATATGTTTATTTTTTTAATTTTTTATATGTTTCACGTCTGATCCTTTCAATGACCGGACGCGATAAGTGCTTTTTATAAAAACATTTGTCCCTCTTTCCCTCCACAATGCCTCATTTAGTATTTCAGCTAGCGCCTTAATTTTGGACTTCGTTTTCCTCCATAATTTATAAACTTAGGCCGCTAATACTTTCATTTTTAATTCAAAATAAAAGTTATAAAAAAGCAATTCAAATTTATAATGGGTAAATGTGCATCATAATCTCATTTTCGATGTGCATCTAATGCCCCATTCTTTTGTATGGTAATAGTTTTTTATTCTCTCACATTACTACCGACATAAGTGCCATCAGTCTTGACAATCAAAATATTTTCTTTAGAATAATATGATATCCAATATCATTGACTAATCCAAATTTTAAGAATAATATATTCACATATCTTATATGCATTATAACTGACAAGCTACTTATAATTAACCGTCATGTCATGTCAAATTTTCATTTCGGACTAACGGAAGAAAGTGTAAAGAGCCATATTCAAACATGAGACAAAAATAACCTGCATAACTTGTTCCCAATAAGATATAAATATTCTTATTCATATTTATTTCAGATCCACAATACAAAAGCAGTACAAATATGGATCAAGCAAGAGAGAATTAATTATTTAAATTAATTAAAGTAATGTGGAGAAGAAGGAGGAGGAGGAGGAGGGGGTTTCTGACAACAAACACAACACCTTCTGAAAGCTCATGATGCGTTGCGGCGTCCATGGTTCCCAAAGTTACTGGCGTCCAGCCTGTCCTCTTAATTTTTGGCACAAATCCTACAGACCTACACACGCACATACAATAAAAAATGTGTTAAAATATGAATAGTTTTCAACTTCTGGCCTTAATTTATTTTGGATTAATTTTATTGGTGAGAAGAACCATAGATTTTTATCAGTATACAATATTGATACTATGATGATTAGGTCCTTGTCACCAATAATTTTTTTTTATAGGAGATGTTTTTTCCTAAATTTCTCTTTTAAAATTAATCATATTATTCTTGAGCTATGTATATTTTTAAGGCCCCATGCAATGCTTTAAGCAAGCATTTGGGGCATTCCAATTCTTAATTATTAGTTGACCTTTTAGGAACAGAGCAAATATGGTCGGAAAGAATTCATGATATTTTCGGTCTCTTCTAAATCACGCATATACAGGGAAGAATGAGACATACAACATGAATATGAATGTATATGATGTGTGTGTGCGCATATTGACACGCCATAGAGGAACTTATTTGTATGTAACTTAAGCTCAAGATCTGTTATGATAAGTATAGAGGAAGTACCTTTTGGAGAGTCAGATGTAGACATTCGGGATATGAGCAATTTTAGGCCAATCTGGTCCTTTCTCCTTTTCACACCTTTCCTTCAGCAACGGACATACCTTAATAGTTAATGAGAAAGGGATGGAGGTAAAGCATCTTCTTCTGGCATGCCTTCAAAACTCATGCGAGGGCAATTGTTAAATGACAAGGAAGTGAGAGAATGGAGGTGCACAAGACCCCTATGGTTTATTCCTCTCAAATTGTTGCAAAACTTGAATGACAGAGATTGGAGATTGGGCGGCAACAATCTCTCTTCTTCAGGGAACCACTCCATGACGTAATCAGTAATTTCAAGTTTTTCAAAGACAACAACTCATGCAAAACCCCAATCCCTACACACGCAATGAGCTTGGAACACCGTTTGATTGAAAGACTTTGTAGGCTGGAAAGCATACCTCCTTGGGGAAGAGATTCCATTGCTGGACAATTACATAAACATAGGTCATGGAGAGGTGGAAGCACATCTGAGATGCTCCATGTGGGTATGTCTTTCATTGATATCTTCCTACAATTACTTAAAGATAGCATTTCCATGGAAGATGACTTGGGAGAGTGTGCCTCCAAATTCCCACATTCCGAAATGTTCAGTTTTTTCAAACAAGGAAGGTGTTGAGGCAGAGACTTTGTTCAGTCTAGGACAATCATATATAAAAAGTTCTTCAAGGCATGGGAAACCTTCACCTTCATGACATACATCCCATTCTTCCCTTCTCTCATAAGCCCAAACCTTAAACACAAGAGGGAAGGAAATGGTTGAGCAATTGAGGAGCCATTCCCATAGAACTCTTCACCTATCACCTTTACTCCACTAAATCCATCAATCCTGAGTTCCTGGAGGGAAGGTAGTTGCCCAAGTGGTGGTAATAAGCTCACATTGTTGTTACTACCACACAAAACTAAAGACACTAAATTGGGTAAAAAATGTGCAACACCAAGAAGCCACTTTGGAAATGGTACCTCTGTATCCCTCAACGATGAGCTCTTTCACACTCTGATTTGGCTCAAGGGCTTCCAATACGTGCTCCTGGCATTGTGCCTCTTCACGACTACAGCTGTGTTCCTGATACAACAACGCCAATTCAACCAATTTCTTTTCTTTCAAATTGGCCTCCCTCATATCTGTAGGATCACTTACATGCTCCATATTTGAGATGGTTAGTGAGCCTGTTAAGCGGGTTAAAGGCTCCTAATTCTTTATATTTGATCCTCCTTTTTTGCCACAACAAACTGATTCATTGTTTGGAGCTGATTTAACTTTCCCATACCTCTTGGCATCTTCCGTATGCCACAGCCTTCCAAGTCAAGATGACGCAAGTTGATGAGTTTGTACAAATTTGACGGCAGCTCAGTCAAGTCATGACAGCCTCTTAATTTCAATGTTTGTAAATTAATCAACAAGCATATTGAATTCGGCAATTTCTTAACTGAAGTGAACGAAAGATCCAAATAATGCAGGTGCTTTAAATTGCTAATGCCATCTGTCAAGCTTCTCAGATTTTGAGATCCATTCAAAGATAATTGTCGTATGTACTTGAGACGACAAAGCCTGGACATTATATCATCGCCAATGCTAAGACTGTCAAATTGGATGAAACTACGTAATTGGTGGCATTTTAAAACTTTCTCAAACATGTCAACATTATCACTTTTGCATCTTATATATGAAAGGTAGCGAGTCTTGGTTGACATATCTTGTGTCTGAGCAGCATCGAGCAACACAAAAAACTCTCCTGCCACAGATTTTGCTAAATCATTCAGAAGATCATGCATGATGAAGTAATCACCACCTCTTTTTGATGGCTCAAAAAAAGACCTAGACTCTAGATCTTTGAAAATTTCATCACCTGTTTCTTCAAGGCTCGTACTTCTCTGAGTTGGATATATTAAACCATCTGCCATCCACAATTGGATTAGGTCATTCTTGTCTATGTCATAATCTTTGGGAAAGATGGAGCAATATGCAAAGCAACGTTTTAGATTTGACGGTAAATAGTGGTAGCTTAATCTTAAAGATGGAATAATATTGCTACGATCTTCTGACAATGCCCAAAGCTCACTTTTCAAAATCTTATTCCAGTGTTGAAAAGAGAGTTTTATCTGCAACAAACTTCCCAGTGTTTTTGTTGCTAAAGGCAATCCTCCACATTTCTTTATGATTTCTTTACCAATCCGTACAAGATCTGGATCAACAGCATTGGGTTGGTTGTTAAATGCATGTTTCACAAATAAATTCCAACAATCTCCATCTTGTAACGGCTTCAAAGGATATGTAGAAGTACAACACATAACTTCTGCTACCGTTTTATCACGGGTTGTGATAAGAATCTTACTCTGTGGTGCTACTTGTCTCAAAGGAGCTGTGAAAACCTCCCAACTTTGACAATTCCAGACATCATCAAGAACGAGAAAAAATTTCTTGCCCATCAATGTCTCTTTTAGCTCAGACTGATTTGAGTGAAAATCTGGTTTAGTTGGACAATCAAGTGACTCAAGAATTGCTTTTGTGAGGTGATCAACATCAAATTCTTCAGAAACACACACCCAAGCTTTATGTTGAAAATGATCCTTCATCCTTAGATCGTCATAAACAAGTCGTGCAAGGGTTGTCTTACCCACCCCGCCCATACCAGTGACGGCAATCACATTCATAGGCAATTGATTCCTACAATCCATGTTCTGTGACAGTAAAAGCTCTACAATCCTCTCTTTATCAGCATCTCTACCATATATATCGGATTCATCTATCAAATGTGTTGAAGGCAATCTTCTGTATACTCTCCTGTTCACCACTCCCGATTGATCTCCAGCAGATGGCCCTTCTCTTAACCCCAGTCTCTCCTTTTGCTTTATAAGATTCTCTAGGTTGTTAAGCAATTCTTTTATCTCTGACTCTATCTTTTTGTCAAAATGATTTCGACTAGTAAGAGTAGTAAAGAAGCCTCGCACCTTGCGGATAACAGTAATACTTTGCGATTCAGCATCCATCTTCTGTTGTGTAGCTATGTCGTCCAGCAAGTCTTGAGCCTTAAAGACTTCATCTTTGAGCTCGTCAAGCCACTTCTTCACATGATGGTCTCTGTATTGCCTTTCCTCTGCATCCTCAACAATTTTGTCCACAGAATTAAGCGTGATGTCCAATTCTTTGAGCAAGTTATCATTGAGCTTTCTGCGACGAAAGTATTCAACAAAGTCATGAGAAGCCAATCTCTGAAATGCCACCTGAAGAAAAGAAGAGAGAAACGCTCCAGCCACCAACTCCGCCATGTTAAATCTAATAGAAAGTATTTAGCAGCAAGAAAGGAAGAAAGCTGGACAAAGAGGAACAAGAAAGCAAGAGTTGTTAATGCTTCACTAGTGTGCGGGGCATAGATAGGCGAAAGTCTTTGGTTGTTGAGAATTTTGGATGGTTCTAAGAAACCACTCCGAAATTATAAAATACAAGATAAGGCTTGAATTTGAGTGATGCATAGGAGCTTGCTTGTCCAAAGAGACTTTTGAAAATTCAACTTTGCCATATGCCAGTCTTACAACAGCCATTCTTGTTTTTGTCCTTTACCTGCCTCTGATGATTCTCCTTTTCTTGTTTGTCCTCTACTCCTCTGAAAAACGATACCAACCACAGGCGAGGATAGGGATTTTTTATTCTTATTTTATCCCAAGCGATTGCAATAATTAATGGGGGGAAAGCCTTTGGCAACTTCATTGCAATTTGTAAAATATCCAAGATGATAGTAAAAAATAATATATTACATGAAAAGCTTTCAGAAAAATAATAACATCAAACAATTAGTTTTTAATTGATCGTTTTGCAATTTTCCCCTCTTAGCACAGCTTGTTTTTAATCCTACTTATTCATCATCATACTAGAACTATGATGATGGCAAATACTAAATATTATGTCAACATAAATTTTAAATTATTGTCACACTTTTCTTGTAGGAAAAAATCATATATTTTTCTATCAGCTCAGCCATGTTGAAGCTAATTCAGATCTTCTCCTCTACACTCCTTTTCTCTTTATCACAGTTTGGACCAAAATTCCAATAGTTCATATTTAATCTTTTATAAAAATAAATATTATTATAATTTTATTTAAGAAATACATAAAAAAATTTAAACTATTAAAATCTGATCCAAATAGTTCACAATTGTGGTGAAAAAATAAGGGAAAAATCTACTTTATGATAACATATAATTATGAATTGTTCAGGTGAAATTTTAACAATTCAAATTTATTTATCTATTTTTATCTATAATTATAATGATATTTATTTTTATAAAATGTTAAATGTGGATCATTAATGTTTTAATCCAATGACGGTGAAAGGAAAAAGAGATTAGAGGAGAGTCTGGGAGCAGTAAATAGGTGAGAATCCTGGTTGTTGGGAACTTTGGATGCTTTTAGGAAATTAACCTTGAATTATAAAATACAACCTCCGGTTATTGATATTTCTCCTGTTCTTGATATAAGATTGAGAAAATTAAAAAAAAAAGTTAGCTAAATTAGTTATTTGTAGTAAATAAATATATTTTTTTCTAAATTACCCTTAGTAATTATATGTGTTTGAATTACTAATTGATAGTAACTTCTTAACATATACTACTATTATAAGAATTATTTAAAAATAAAATTTATAAATATAAGAGATAAAATAAATTAATATTTTATATTTAGGATCAAATTAAACTATTTCTTATATATTAACAAGCAAAGGTATTATAAGACAAGACTTGAATTCGAGGGATGGATATGAATTTGCTTTTCCAGAGAGAGACTTTCCCATCTGCCAGTGTTATTCCAACTACTATTCTTGCTTTTGGACTCTATCGATCTCTAATAATTCCCCTTTTCTCAATTGTACGTTAAGAAACGATACGAACTGCGCAGTCGATGACGCAGAATTTTGATTCTTGTAATGTCATTTCATATCCCCAGCGACTTCAGCGACTTCAGCGAACAAAGCATTTAGCAACTTCGGTGCAATTTGTAAAAATATCCACGTTGATCATAAAAAATAATTTATTAAAAAATCCTTCAGAAATAGGAGTAAGCAGTTTCTTTTTTTTCTGAGTAAATAAATAAATAGTTTCTGAATTTGGTCATTGCGAATAATTTTTCAATTTTTTATGATCCCTTTGCTTTTTTAAATTGTCCCCTTAAAAATTAAAAAGATTTCAGTTTCATTAAGGACTCTTCAAATTACAATTTTTCTGCTGACTTGTGCTTAAAAAAGTGTGCACACGCACGCATGTGCGTGTGTTCGTGTGCGTATGTGACGATTCTTTTAGATTGGTAAGCTTTTTCATGTTTAGGGTCCAGTATTTACGTGTTTTTAATCTTGACAATCAAAAATATTTTTTAGAACAATTTAATATCCAATCTCACTGCCCAATCCAAGTTTTAAGTATAGTTGAGGCTAAAAAAAAAGAGGGTTTTGAGGTTATGAAACTCCAAAATATATAGGGATCATTTAGAATAGTTTACAAGTAGCTTTTTTATTCGTGATTTACAGAATATTAATAAATATGTGAAATTAGTTTTATTTTGGCTCATGTAAAAATATATTTATAAATGATTTCTATTATGATTGCAAATGCGGGGCCATAATTGAGGGGTGCTTTCCGACATATAATTTTTTCCCCCTAAAAACTCATACTTAATATGGGTTTTATTAAGTCTCTTCCACTTAGAGGGTGTTTTGGTAACCCTATAATTATTTTTCAGAAGTACTTTTTTACAAATTGAGATAAACTCTTCCTCATATTTATTTTGTATACTGTAAAAGTACCTCTGAAACTATGATTTTGTTCTTATTCAAACACCCCTTTAATCCAATTATCATTGATTTGGAATATTTCTGTGTGTGTATATAAGATAGAACGAGAAATTGAGAAGGTGTTAAACTTCACTGGTGGGGTGAGGCATATGTGGAGGAAAGTGCTCCTTTGATTGTTTGGGTGCTTCCGAGAAATTACTGCGTAATTGAAATGCGACATCACGCCCATTTGAAATCATATTCCAAAGCACTTATAAACGTTTTTTTTACTCAAGTTAAAATAAAATTTTTATATTCTTATATCATATTTTGTAAATTATAATTGAAAAATTAATTATAGGAGTATTTAGATACTATAAAAAATATTTTTTTAAAATATTTTTTCACAAATCAAAATAAACTCTTCTATATATATACTTTATATGATATAAAATTATTTTTAAAATTTTAATTTTAATTCCATCTAAACACGCTTTTTAAGCAAATTGAAATTGATTTGCTCTCTTTTTTTTCACTTTCGGTGCGACAGCACTTTTCAAAAAGCAGAAGTGACGACAAGAGCCAACGGCTATTTCTTTTTAATTTCTGTTTGATTCTTTTTTTCATATTTTATTCCAAAATTTATGCTCATGCACCTCTGTCTTATAAAATGTCATTTTAATAATATTTTTTATAATTTATTTTTCTTGTATATACTACTTCCGATTCTTAATATAAGATCTTGTTTGACTTTTATTTTGATTCTAAATATAAGACCCAAATCCACTTTATCTCTCATATTTATGTATTTTTTTCAAGATAGTCTTTCCAACAATAGTAGCTCTAACCAATATACTTGATTAGTAAGAATATTTTAAGAAAGATAATATATATTTATTACAAATAACTAACTTAACTTCTTTCCTTAATCTCCTCAAATTAGTCAACTAGCTTTTATAATTAGGACTAAAAGTAGTACTAAAAATATAATAAAAAACTTATTTTATTGCATAATTTATTATTTTGTACATATTAAAAATATAAACAATATTATCATCAAAATATAAAAGCACAGGCCACAAATTATTTTGTTTGGAATTTACTATTATACATAAATTAAAATTCAAAAATAAAAAAATTCATTGAATTGCACATTTACTCTTTTTTTAATACAATTTGTGTAAATTACAGCTAATATTAGGATTATTATAACATGCAGGGCCTGTTGCTTTAAGCGATTAATTAGGAAAAATCATGCTTAACAACTAATATTAGGATTATTATAACAGGCGGGGCTCTTTATTTTACAAATTACTCCCAACATCCCAATTTATAAGAAACATTTGACTAAATTACATAAATTAAATAGATAGTTAAAATTAGTTAAAAACAATAAATATGTAAAAAATTATAATTTTTTTCAATAATTTTTTTATTTATGAAGGAGAGAGTACAAGGTAGAGAATAAAAAAATTATTAAAATGAAAAGAATGATACTTCAAAAAATAAGATGGTAAATAATTGTGTATTAAAATAAATAATTAATGGGACAAAATTTAAAACAAACTAAGAAAATTTACGATATCTTGCGAATGTTTTTTAATAAATGAGGACAGCATATAGAATGTAATTGTCTCTGGACGGAGGGAGTAGCAACTAGGGATAGGAAATGCAAATCATGCCTATTAACGTGGTGCCAGGGTGATACTAAGAATATGTCCCCCACAAGATGAAAATTAAAATGCACGATAGTTGGGTGCCCCTATTTAATATTTATAAAGATAATTTATGCCATAATTAATATTTTTTTAAGAAAATGATGCTTTTGATCGATTAAGAGAAAGAATAATACATAATAAGTAAGGAATT